GCCTGCGCGGCGCGGGCGCTTGAGCGGACCGTTGGCGCTTGGGGGACCGTTGGCGCTTGGGCTGTGGGGTGGGCGCTGTCCTCGCTGTCTCCGGCTCTGGTGGCCGCGTAGACATGCCTCTTGGGCGAGGGGGGATTGTTTTCGCCGGGTATATTCTTTCCCCTCCTTTGTAGCTCTTCTGGGGCGTCCGTGAAAAGAAATTGGAGGGAGTTGGGCCTGCTTTTAACTGAGGGGGTTGCACAGTGGCGCTGAGAGGCCTCTGTGGTGTCCTGCTAAGCTTGCAGGGATGTGAGGGAAGTGGTCCTCAAAGGCTGGTTGAGCTGAGTGAGGGCTGGTGCCAAACGTTTGTGTGTTCCTGGGTGCTGTCAGTGTCCGGCTCGGCCAGCCCACCTGCAGCCTCTCCTGATTTCCAGGGAAAACGCCCCACTGAGACCTTTATTTGCACAGGGAGCAAAACAGACAAACAGTGTAATTCCAAAGGAACAGTCATTCCCCTTTTAGGGCTATAAATGTAAAAGCAAATCAAAAAACCCTAAAAAAGAACCAGACTCTTGTTTTCTCTCTGTAGTTCCGGTATTTGTCATAACTGAAAGCTAACGCAAAGGCTGGAAAACAGGAGTGAGAGCTTAACCACCTTAGCAACAGGCGGTTGGCTGTTGTGACAACCGAGGAAGGCAGTGCTGATGTGGGATTTAGCAGCAGCAGGACACCATTTAAAAAAGGGAGAATAGTCTTTTTATTTGAGTGAACCGGTGGATCATGTAATTGCCGAAGTATTTAGATGTTTTGTATTGATATTGCAATTATGGGGGTATGGAAAACTTTCCAGGAATCTGTTTGGAGCTGGACCTGCTTTGCATGAGTGTTTAGTTGCTTGCATGAATAAACTTTTTCAGGTCTGCCTGATGGCACTCTGAAGAGAATTCTACTTCCCTTTTCTTAGTATTTTACTGTGTATGTCTTTATTCTAATAGCTTCTTTCTCGTATTATTCACTACTAGATCTTTTTTTTCCTCTGTAACCTTTAGTTCTTTTTTCATATATTGTTAGAGTATATACACTCGTCAGCTTAATCTCTGAAAGGCTATGTTGCCTTTTAATCTCTATCACTCATACAGAAGTTAGTTGTGTATTTCTCAGGAATAAACTCTATACAAATATGTAATGGAGTCAAGGCCCGGTTCTTACTGCTTTATGTAAAACCAGGGTAGAAACAGTATTGTTGTGAGATAGTCTACTATCTTTGTATACTATCTATTCTACAATCTTCTATCTTTGCCGTAAAGGAAAAAAAAGCAGCATCTTTTACTGTCACTCTGGAAAACTAAGTATTTCTGTGTCATGACCTACTTCTAACAGCCTTCATCTCCTAAATAATGAAATTCTAC